AGATAATGGCATAAGACGACAACTAACAGCAACTTACACTCCACAGCAAAATGGAGTCGCAGAAAGAAGGAATCGGACCATCATGAACATGGTACGATGTCTGTTGTCTGAGAAGGAGATGCCGAAATCGTTGTGGCCAGAAGCAGCTAGATGGACAACTCATGTTTTGAATCGCAGTTACACAAAGGCAGTCAAGGACATGGTACCTGAGGAGAGGTGGACAGGAGTAAAACCAAATGTAGAATACTTCAGAGTATTCGGTTCGATTGCACATGTGCACGTCCCTGAACAAAAGAGAATTAAGCTTGATGATCGAAGTCACAAATGCATCTTGCTTGGAGTTAGTGACGAATCTAAGGCCTATCGTTTGTATGATCCGGTGACGAAGAAAAAAATTATAAGTAGAGATGTCATATTCGAAGAAGGTGGAAAATGGGATTGGAACCCGAGTACAACAGATGCAGAGCAGAATGTGTTGGCTTGGGGAGACGATGATGATATTGTCACAGAAGAGTTTGAAGGAGAAGAGACTGATGGAGAACCTAATGAAGTAGAAAACGGCAGTTTAGAAGCAATTCTAGAAACTGAGGAATCTTCACCAGAATTTCCACAACAGACAAGAAGAAGGAGAGAGCCCGTTTGGATGCACGACTACGAAACTGATGAACGTTTGTCTGAAGAAGAAGAACCAGATGAAAGCTTAGCTTTTCACATCTCCAACGATGATCTAATAAACTTTGACGAAGCGGTGAAAGAAAAAAGGTGGCAGGAGGCCATGAAGCTTGAAATTCAAGCTATTGAGAGAAATCAGACCTGGGAGCTTGTGCCATTGCCACATCAAGCAAAGAAAATTGGTGTCAAATGGGTTTTTAAAACGAAATTAAATGAAGAAGGCAAAGTAGACAAATGTAAAGCTAGACTCGTCGCCAAAGGGATATTCACAAAAAGCAGGAGTAGACTACAATGAAGTGTATGCGCCAGTAGCACGATGGGATACAATCAGAATTCTGTTGGCACTGGCAGCTCAACGTGGATGGTGCATCTATCAACTTGACGTTAAGAGTGCTTTCTTGTACGGTGAATTGAATGAGGAGGTTTACGTTGACCAGCCGGAAGGGTTTGTCAAAAGGGGAGAAGAAAACAAGGTGTATAGGCAAAAAAAGGCTCTCTACGGTTTAAAGCAAGCTCCAAGGGTCTGGTTTAGCAGAATCGAGAGTTATTTCAAGAAGGAAGGATTTGAGAAAAATAATTACGACCACACCTTGTTCTTGAAGAAAAATGGAGATAAATTGTTGTTGGTAAGTCTTTATGTTGATGATTTAATTTACACAGGAGATGATGAGCATATGTGCACAAATTTTACGTCGTCAATGCAGAAGGAGTTTGAGATGACAGACTTGGGAAAAATGAAGTTCTTCCTTGGAGTTGAAGTCTATCAAAACAAAGGAGGAATTCATCTGTGCCAAAAGAAGTATGCTAAGGAAGTCTTGGAAAGGTTTAATATGTGGAATTGCAATGCTGTAAAGAATCCAATAGTTCCTGGCACTGTCTTGTCAAAGTTAGGCAGCAAATATGCTGATGCAACACTATACAAACGGTAAATCGTCCTGATTTAATGTTTGTGGTATGTTTGATTTCTCGTTATATGGCTGATCCTAAAGAAGAACATATGATGATTGCTAAGAGGGTACTGAGATATTTAAAAGGAACATTGGATTTTGGAGTCTATTACAAAAGGAGCACAGATGTAAATCTGCTGGGATACACAGACAGCCACTATATAGGAGATGAGAATAACAGAAATCTACTGGGATACACAGACAGTGACTATGCGCGAGATATAGACGATAGGAAAAGCACTTCAGGCTATGTTTTTCTTCTAAGTGGAGCAGCAATATGTTGGAGTTCAAGGAAGCAAGGAATTGTCACTCTATCATCCACAGAAGCTGAATATGTGGCTGCCACTGCATGTGCATGTCATGGAGTTTGGCTTAAAGGAATTTTGAAGGAGCTGGGCGTCAAAAACTGTGAGTGCATCAATATTACGTGTGATAATAGTTCAGCAATTAAGTTGTCAAAGAACCCAGTTATGCATCGAAGGACAAAACATATTGATGTTAGATACCATTACTTGCGCAATCTGTCAATTGATGGAGCTGTGAGGTTAGTTTTTTGTGGAACTAAAGATCAAATGGCAGACATAATGACTAAACCAATTAAGTTGGACCAATTTGTGAAACACAGAAGCTTTCTTGGTGTTCGACGACTTGAGGAGAAACTGATGCTGATTCAGCATATTTCAGTTTACGGAGAGGAATTTGTTGGAGCTATTGACTTGGTCTGCAACGTGATAGCTAAATAATAGGTAGGAGTTGTTATTTAAACTGTTAAGTAAGCTAGTTTGTAGGAGTTGATTTGTTCAATTTTGTTTAGATATGTTTTCCTTGTATTTCGATTTTTCTGTTTGTAAGGCTTTATAAAAGCCTCAGTTATTTTTCTACTTGAAAGAATAAGGATTATCAGTTTCCTTTACTCACGTCATCATTATATGGTCCACTCGTTTGTTGTGATTTTATAAGAAAAATATTTGGTTGCTAAAAATTATATTCTCTAAGTGTAATTTGACATTCTAAAACATAATAAGGTGACATCGAGTCTTCTATCCAAGCATGAGTACCCTGTGATCTTCTATGTTTCTACGAAATCATACTGCTTAAGATAACATTTTGTATCTTTGTACAAGTCATATATGAAAGGGTTTGATCAATATTCCTGACCTAGAAACCTTGGTCTAAGGTGGTACACAGACGACTTATGTATTTTTATCAGTATGCAACTTGAGATCAGGAGACAGATCTCATCATTAGACCTTGCTGCAAACAAGATATGGAGATATCTTTTTTTTTTTTTTTTGTATTATTTCTAGTATCATCAACAAAAAGAAGTTCAGTTGGGAGGTTTAATGAACAAATCCTTTAACTTTGCAGCAAAAAATAATGTTTTTTTTTGTTAAATTCATAAAATATTAAAAATGAGTAATTAAACTATGATTTAGCCACATGCTTCATCATAACAGTTCATTTAGTGGGACACTTTGTTCAGAGGCACGGCAGGTGCCATGATTAGACCATCTTGACCGTTCAAGGCCTTCGTTTTTTTTTTCTTTTTTCTTTTTTTTTTTGGGTCGAACACCGCATTTGTTCATATTACATGAATTTAAATAAACTCTTTTTAAATCAAAAATAGTTTTTCCACGTACAAAAAGCTAGGGTGATTTGGGTAGGAAGTTTTCTTATGGGTATTTTTGAGGGTATAACTCTAAATTAATTAGAGTAATGTAATAAAAATTTAATTTAAAAAATTTATTAAATTAATTGTGAATTCTAATTAGAAGTATTAATCAAGCCGAATTTTGCGAGTTTAATTCTGAGCCTGTCGAAAAACAATCTAAAAAGATTATTCAATTTCACTTTGTTTAGAAAATGAGTTAAGTCTAAGTCCGATCCAAATCTTAATTGAGCTCGAGTAACTCGATTATTTGACATATAAATGAATCAAATTTTGTGAATTCGAGTTGAGTTTTTTACGTTCGAACCCGAGTCGTGTAGCTCATCTCGCTTAACATCCTTAATTTTAATATTAAACTGCGTTCACTTTTAATTTAATATCTATATTAGATTAGGTCCTAAAATTAAAAATTTAAATTACATTTTAATAATATTTTTCATAAATAAAGAGTATCTAATTTATGCATGATACACGTGGACCAATTTGGAATGGAGAGTTTCTCTTTTTCCGCCGGCCAAATGACGACCGTTGCCACCGGCCAGGCCGCCCGACTTTTTTTAAAGGTGGGGCACGGTCCGCAGGGAATGTCCGATGAGCCACGCAAGTAAAGATCTCCAAATTAGGATAAATTATACTTTGATCCTCTCAATTGTGGATTTAATTTAATTTTATACTTTACACTATTGATTTTTTTACATTTCTTTCTCAATTATTTCATATTTACAATAAACGTAAATGTATGTTATTTTGTTGTATAAAAATTAACAATGTGTCTAGATAAAGTAAAAAAATCACATAACAGAAGTTAAAAGTAAAAATAATTTTTCGCCAAATTTGTAACGGACGTTAAAAGTTGAAGCGTTATAAAACAAATTGCATAGTTAAAGGTGAAATATGAAAATATGATAATCAAGAGAATAATATAAAAACTTATAATTAAGAGGGTCAAAATATAATTACCCCTTTAAATTACTCGTAAAATTAACAATCAAATGCCTTGGCCTTTGCTTGTCCAAAATTCGAGAGAGTCCTAGCAAAAAAACAATTTTTTAAAAGGGAGGAGGATACCGTATGGAAAAAATTGTCAATAATTATCGGGTGAAGTATATAAAAAAACTAGGATAATCTCGTGCAAAATACATTTTTATAGGGTAAAAAGCATAAACGACCCTTGAGTTTTGCCTTCGATTATAATTTAATCCTTAAAAAAATAAATTTTATTTTAATCAATCATTAAACTGTAAAATTATCTCAATTAAACCTCTCTATTTGCTTCTTTTTAAGAAAACAAACAACAAATAAAAAACGTGACTTTCACATAAGATGTTGAGGGGCATTTAAGGGAGTGAAATGAGGAGTAATTTATGGCAAATATTTCCTTCCAATAAGTGCACATGCTCTAGATTTAGATCTCTTTTAATGTGTGTGTGTATATATATATATATATTATGAATTGTGTATCATTTTCTTAAAAAAATAATTATTAAGTGGAGTTTAACTTGTCTACTTATAAGTTTATTATTGAATACGTAGCAGTAATGATGTGATGTCGCCGTTGTATCTAATAATTACTCTTCCCATTTATAAAACTTAAAATTTGCCCAAAAAATTCGATAATGCAAATTATATAAATGAAGTATTTCATAGGCGTTAATTAATTCCTTATTTTGTCTTTTTTTTTGGTTTGTCGCTCTTTTTCTTTTAAAGTTTCTCTCCTCTTTCACAGTTCTTCAAAGGGTCGTTACAGTACAGCAACAACTCAGCATAAAGGCAAAGAAATTCTAGAGAGAGAGAGAGAAGAAAGCAATGGGTTGAGAGGAAAGCAAAAGGTATTTGAGGGTTTTTTTTTTCTTCATGGCTTGCAATCAAATGCTAACCCAGTTTTGATTTCTCTCCATGAGTTTCTGAAGCTTATGTTTTAGTTTTTACCTCGAGAATTCTTTCGTCTTGTAACCATACACATGTGGGCATGTATGTAAACGTAACTTTTTGTTCAACATGTTTATGTTCCTTGATTCGTTGATTGACTGCCTTATTAATTTCTGATCAGTCTATAATTATAATTCTATCGGATCATGGTTGATCAGCTAGTTCTTTTGATCCTAGGAGTTATGGATTGTTATTACTTTACAATACTTGTGGTGGGTGTGAGAGAAATTTGGATGTTGTTTGTACTCCATGGATGATCATTTAGTTGTTGATTCAAAACATGTAATATTATGTATGCTTTACACTGAAGCGTCTGAATTCCTTGAGTTTGAGGAAATCAGAATAAGTTCTAATATAACAATCTGACATTCTTTGTCTCAATTACCCTGTTTGTTTGTTCAGGTAAGTTTTATATTTCTCTGAAGGCAGCACTTACCCTTTGTGAAGAACTGTTGCACCTGGCTTCTGTGCTAGTCAGGTAGTTTTATGCCATTTCTGATCTTTTTGTCATGATCCAAAAAATCTGATCTCTTCTCATATATTCTGACTGCCCAAGAGTAAAATAACAGTTGTTTTGTCGATTATTCTGAATAGGTGCAAACAGTGAGTGATTGGAAGCTCTATTTTGTTTACCAGTGTAGAATTGGACGTCTTAAAGCTTCATTCATCAAGTTTGGGCCTGGATCAATTGTTGGGACCATACTCACTTGGTTCATAAATTGAAATCTTGCGTTGTTGGTGTAGATAGTTTGCAGCATTGGCCAGAGAATCATGGCGGATATGACTAATGCAGAATCCCGACGGAAGTACTCTTGGTGGTGGGACAGTCATATAAGCCCCAAAAACTCAAAATGGCTTCAGGAGAATCTTACAGGTATAGCTTTCTTGCATCAATTGCTGGTTCTTACTTGAATTCCCATTTTATTCCTCACAATTGGATGTAATGTAAGCAGAGTGTGAGGGTATTTTTCTGTTGCATAAAGTGTAGCTGAGACACGAGCTGATCTCTCTTTTTTTGGGTACTTTTTGATTTTATCTATACAAACTCTACATTTTTTATGTAAACAATTATCTTGGCATATTTTGACATCTTGCACATAAAGCTCGGGCCATAGTTGTTTAATCAATATGTAGTTTTTTCATTGGCTTATGCCAAAGTTGTTTTCAGGTTAACATGTTTCACGTGGTTGTAGTCCATTGCTTGGCGCAGTGATAAAAGCTAGACCTGCCAACTGTTAGACCATGCCTTCCAGTTGAGGGGGCCACTTCGTGCAAATAATGTGTGAACCCTGTCCATCCCTCCCAAGATCTATACACTAATGGCACCAACACCGGTGTTGGCCTTTTACATGGTTCATGTCATAGCCTTTGCTTTATATTTAACTAAAATCAACTGGAGCAATCGTGTTTTTGATGAAGTTCATTACACGAAACATCAAATTGTGCTGGCCTAGCGTCAAATGGGACTTTACTACTTGAGAAGAAATGGTCAATACTTTTCATTGTATTCTTCTCCAGTGATTGTAGCTGTCATTTTCTATATGCAATTGCCACCATTGGTTTGAATTTCCAAGCATTTACAAGGTAGGATTCTCGCTATGTGGTTCTCAAATTTATCTTCAATTGGTTTGACATCATAGAGTGAAGATCTTTGCTTATTCAGAATTATTGGTGGAGTTCAAAACTTTAGAGCGGGATCATTTCTTTCCCAAGAAAAGAAAGCTTACTCAAAAAATCTAGAAAGCTAGAATTCTGTCAAATTGTTTGTATTGAAAGACCGGAGGAGCAAAGGGCCAAAAAGGAAATAGAATTGCAATGAAACAAAACCAAATAGATGTTGAGAACTGCATAAAACCTGGAGAGTTATTGGAAGCATTAGACATGGCAATAAGATTATTGGATTTCAGTAACTTGTAAATCATACAATTACACATATTGAGTGCCAGGATTGCAGCCCTATATTTGATGTTCTTTTCAGTTTGAAAAGCACACATATGTCCACACTCACCGCAAGAATGGTAACAATTGGACGAAGAAGAATGATATTTACATTAGTATCCTTTATAATAAGCCATTGGCTTTCTCTTGCAATTTATTGTGATTTATGCACCTTGTGTGGTGTACATGCTTCCTGATATGAATGATGTGATCAACTTTTTATTGTATCTGGCGAAAATTGGTAGCGTTTGACCGCCAAATTTTGTTGGTGAAAGACATCAAATAAACCAATTTTATGTAATTTTCATGGTTGGTGGTGTTAAGAGTGCGGGTTAAGTCCTTTACCCATTTGAATATCTTGGTATGCATGAGGCCCGGTCCCACGTGAGGGAGGGTGTGAAGAGAGCATGTATTCCATATCAAATAATTAGGACCACCAAGATTAGTTTATATACTTGAGAGGTTACTCCACTCATTGTCAGTCGGTGTTGGGTTGGATGCTCTAACATGTGGTTTTAATCGTGACATAAAATTTTGCCAATTGGCTTCTTCTATTTTTTCCAGCCAAGATGTCGTTAGATAAATGTCTAATCCTCAACTCTTTCCTCCCACCATTCCTTTTTCCCTCATTTTTCAGACATGGATGCCATAGTTAAAGCAATGATCAAGCTAATCGAAGAAGATGCTGATTCCTTTGCAAGGAGGGCAGAGATGTACTATAAGAAACGCCCAGAGCTTATGAAATTGGTTGAAGAGTTCTATCGAGCATATCGTGCATTGGCTGAAAGATATGATAATGCAACCGGGGTGATTCGCCAGGCTCATCGGACTATGGCTGAAGCTTTTCCAAATCAAGTACCCTTCATACTTCCTGAGGACTCGCCTGCCAATTCAGTCCCAGATGTTGATCCCTGTTCACCTGAAATGTCAACCCCTGTACGTGCATTGTTTGACCTTGATGATTTGCAAAAGGATGCTTTGGGACTTTCTTCATCTCATTTTCATGCTGTAAAGCGGAATGGGGACCTGACAGAAGAGTCCAATTCTGTAACAACTAGAAAGGGTTTGAAACAGGCCAATGATTTGTCTGGGTCCGGAGGCCATGCAAAATTTGGAGAAGGGAGGGTCAGAAAGGGCCTCAACTTTCATGAAACAGAGGAGAAAGAACAAAGAGTGCAAAGTAAGGAGAACCACAATTTCCTGAATCAGGCCCTGTCTGAATCTGAGAGAGGGGTTAAGCCTGACGAGGAATTTTTAGCCTTAAAGGAAGCCCTTGCCAAACTAGAAGCTGAGAAGGAAGCTGGCCTAATTAAGTACCAACAGAGTTTGAAGATATTGTCTGATCTAGAATCAGATGTCTCTCGGGTCCAAGAGGATTCCAAAGGACTTGGGGAACGAGCAAGCAAAGCAGAAGTGGAAGTTCAAATCTTGAAGGAAGCCCTCACAAAGTTAGAAGCTGAAAGGGAAGCTAGCCATCTACAACATCGGCAGTGCTTGGACAAAATATCTAGTCTACAGACCATTATCTCTCAAGCCAAAGATGATGCTGCTGAACTTAATGAGCGAGCAAGCAAAGCTGAAATTGAAGCTGAGTCCAAAAATCAAGTCCTTGCTAAAATAGAAGCTGACAAAAGTGCTGCTCTCTATCAATACCAACAATCTTTGGACATGATATCAAATCTGGAGAGCAGATTATTGCAAGCTGAAGAAGATGCCAGAAAGTTTAGTGAGCGTGCTGACAAAGCCGAAAGGGAAATTGAATCTCTGATGCAAGCTATTGCCAAATTGACTGAAGAAAAGGAGTTTGCCACTCTGCACTACCAGCAGTGCTTGGAAACTATTTCAAGTCTAGAGCTTAAAATCACGAGCATTCAAGATGAAGCCCAAAAGCTCAAGGATGAGATAGATAATGGAGTTGCAAAGTTAAAGGGTGCTGAAGAACGATCTCTGCTGTTGGAGAAATCTAATCAGTCTCTTCAATCTGAGTTAGAAGCTTCGGTGGTGAAGATGAGAACTCAAAGTCAAGAACTTACTGAGAAGCAGAAGGAGTTGGGAAGACTTTGGATTTGCAAACAAGAAGAGCGCTTGCGTTTTATGGAGGCCGAAACTGCTTTCCAAACTTTGCAGCATTTGCACTCTCAAGCTCAGGAAGAATTAAGATATTTAAATTCAGAACTGCCGAAGAGGGCTCAAATTTTGAGGGACATGGAAACTCGTAATCAGAGTTTGCAGGATGAAATCCTGAAGGCGAAGGACGAGAACAACAGCCTCAACGTGTTCAACCTATCTTCAGCCACATCAATGAAGGATATGCAAAAAGAGATCTTTAGCTTACGGGAAATAAAAGGGAAACTAGAGGAAGAGGTTGAACTCCGAGTGGATCAGAGAAATTCTCTTCAGCAAGAAATATATTGTCTGAAACAAGAACTGAATGAATTGAACAAAACACACCAGGCAATGTTGGACCAGGTGGATGCAGTAGGCTTGAACCCAGAGTGCTTGGGTTCATCAGTGAAGAAACTGCAGGATGAGAACTCAAATTTAAAAGAAATCTGTCAAAGAGAAAGGACCGAGAAAGTATCTCTTTTGGAGAAATTGGAAATCTTGGAAAAGCTTCTTGAGAAAAATTCCCTTTTGGAGAATTCCTTATCTGACTTGAGTGCTGAGCTAGAAGGGGCTAGAGGGAAGATCAAAGAACTGGAACAATCATACCAGTCTCTTATGGAGGAGAAATCTTCACTTGCAGATGAGAAGGTCACTCTAATCAGTCAGCTACAAGTAACTACTGAGAATTTGGAGAAAGTCTCAGAGAAGAACCGCATTCTGGAAAATTCCCTTTCTGATGCACACGATGAACTTGAAGGGTTGAAGGCAAAATCAAAGAGCTTAGAAGATTCATGCCAGTTTCTTGTTAATCAGAACGCTGGTCTGATCAATGAGAAAGATTCTTTGGTTTCTCAGTTGGAAATCACTCGGCAAGGATTGAAAAACCTGGAGGAGAAATACAAAGAATTAGAAGATGAAAATTCAGCTCTGGATAAAGAGAAAGAAGCCACTCTCTGTGAAGTACAAGAGCTACAGGCTTCTTTGCACGTGGAAAAGCAAGAATATGCCAGTTTTGCTCATATGAATGAGATGCGATTGGCAGTTTTGGAATCTCAGATATGCCTTTTACAAGAAGAAGGTCAGCAGAGGAAGATAGAATTCGAAAAAGAGCTAGATAAAGCTTTGGATTCTCAAGTTGAGATGTTCGTCTTGCAGAGATGTGTTAGAGATTTGGAAGAGAAGAACTTTTGCCTGTTGATTGAATATAAAAAACTCCTAGAGGCATCCAAATTGTCAGAACAACAGATATCTGAATTAGAGAAAAAGAATATTGAACAACAGATGGAGGTAAAATCCTTGTTTGATCAAAGCAATACTATGAGAACAGGTATATATCAATTGGTGAAGGCTCTAGACATCGCTCTCGACCAGGAGCGCGAAGACAAGATTGAACAAGACCAAACATATCTCATACACATACATAGAAAACTTGGGGATACAAACGATTCTCTCTGTAAAACCAAGGAAGAAAATCAGCTGCTGGCTGTTGAGTTGACAGTTCTTGTCACACTGCTTGGGCAAGTAAGATTAGAGGCAGAAAATCTACAGATGGAAAAAAACATTATTGACCAAGAGTTCAGGATCAGGACTGAGCAGTTTGCAGTGTTGCAGAGTGAGAACCTTAAACTCCATGAGATAAATGAAGGCTTGAAATTGAAAGTGAGGGAAGGAGGTCACAAAGAGGATGTACTAACGACTGAGGTAGAAAATCTGCATGGGCAGTTGTCGGAGATGCAACGAGCTTACTGTAATTTACAGTCGGAGAATTCAGTATTTCTTGACAAAAAAAGATCATTGGCAAACGAAATATTGCTCTTGGAGGGAAATAATCGTACCCTAAAAGAGGAAAACTGTGTTACCTTTGCTGAAATGGTATCTCTGGGCATCATATCTCTCATTTTCAAAAACTACATGGAGGATAAATTTGTGGAACTAAAAGAGCTTGGTGAAGATCTAGCCAAACTTCGTGGTGTCAATGGTGCCCTTGGGGGGAAATTAAGCTTGATGGAGAAGAAGTTGGAAGAGGTACAAATGGAAAACCTGAACCAGAAGGAGACATTGCAGATGTGGGAGGATGAGCTGAAAGCAGTTGCTTTTGCCCGGGATCAGTTGATTGGTGAGATTGCGAATGGAATGGAACTTTTAGGTCAAAAAGAAATGGAACTTCTGGATGCAAAACAGAAGCTCAATTTCATAGAGAATGAGAGATCAGAGTTGCATAAAATTGTAGATGATCTGAAGAGGGAATATGATGAGGTTAAGATGATTAGAGATGACCAGGGAAGGCAGGTTCTCAAACAGTCTGAAGACAATGATTGTCTGAATAAGATAAACATTTCCCTTCGTGAAGCAAGTCAGACACTGGAGGTTGAACTGCACCAACTGCATCAAGACCATGAAGAAACTAAGACTCGGGAGGAAAGTTTGCGCTCTGAACTGCAAAAGAGAAATAATGAGATTGACATGTGGGAGACACAGGCTGCAGCATTCTTCAGTGAATTGCAGATGTCCACTATCTGTCAAGCTTTGCTTGAAGAGAAGGTTCAAGAGCTTGCTGAAGCATGTGAGAGCCTTGAAGGTGAGAGTACTTCCCATGATATGGTTATGAAAATGCTGAAAGAAAAAATCAGCATTTTGCAAGCTGAAAATGAAGGATTGAAAGCTCAGTTAGCTGCATATGGCCCAGCTGTCATTTCTTTGAGAGAGTGTATGTTATGCCTGGAGAAACGCACTTCTTTACATGCAAAGATTCAAACATCTGAAAATGAGGAAGCAAAGGTAACGTTCATTTTTCCGAATTTATATATGTGCTTGGTGGTATCAATCATGTGCCATTTGAGATGTCGGAAGTTGTTTCTCAATTTGACCACATATATGTGTACAAACACACATGTTCTCCCTATTTTCATTGTCCTCCATATTTTTCCTCCAAGCTCCTTCAACCTGCATCCATATGTTCGCAGCAGCATGATAACTTACTCTGAACTTGTCATATCATGCTCAACTAAAAGTTTAATTGAGAGGTGGTTTGTTTCTGATTTTTCAAAGGGAAGTTCGAAAGTTTAATGGCTCTAGACTGCCACTGGCTATTTGTCAACTGAAGGAAGCCTTAATTCACAAGTCATGATAAAGTGGTTGTGCTTTTGATCCCCTGACATCCTTGCTTGCACCAATGAGTTTTCCTAAGAAACATGAATCTTTTTGTATGTAATATGTTGCATGAGCTCTTTTGCTTGGAATCTCTTGCATGGATTTTTCAAATAAGTGAAGTGAGATATGGATGCAAATTGAAAGTAAGATCTAAATAAGTCATATGTTAACACTGTTCGGCCAGCCTTAAAGCCAAAAAGAAAAGGAAAGAGTTGTGTACTTTTCCGATGATTTCTCAATAGAGTAGATCAAACTCATACCAGTAATATTGTGTAGTATAAGCTATCCAAATTTCAACTTGCTTTTCAGAAAGACTGTGATGAGATACATAGATTAGTGCATCTCATCCACATCATTCAATGACTTATTTTCTTCATTTTAAATATTCACTAGTGTGCTAGGGAAGGCAAGAACTTAAATTAAAACTGTCCTAGTCTCCTGAAAGCAAAAGTTAATTGTTGAGCAGTGTTTGAATTATCTGCTGTGCCACCAGAAAGTGCTGTAGCCTGTACCTATTGATGGAAGTTAATGATCCACTGTCTTTATTATTTTTTGCTTCTAGGATGTTCAACTGGCGACTCATCAACATGTTGAAAGCCAACAGGGAGAAGATCAGCCTGCCGTTGTGCCAGATGCATTCTCTGACTTGCATAGCTTACAAACTAGGGTTAAAACTATTGAGAAGGCCCTCATTGAAATGGATCAGCTTGCGATGCAGGAAAACTTAAATGTGCATGCCGAACTAGCAGTTGCGATGAGACAGATTGAAGGGCTAAAAACAGCCAGCAGCTTGCATAGAGGAAAATCTAAACCAACATCTGAAATATCTGAGGTGGAGAATGGAATTTTAACTAAAGACATTATGCTTGATCATATATCGGAATGTTCATCCTATGGGCTAAGCAAGAGGGAAAATGTAGAAGCTGATAATCAGATGCTTGAGCTATGGCAGACAGTTACTGATCAGGATGGGAGCATCGATCTTACTGTAGGTAAGGCGAAAAAGGCAGCCACTGCACCCACAAATAAAGATACTGATTACCATCGGTATGAAGCAGTAAAGAAACAGAAGAGTGCATATCCCACTTCTGACGTGCTGGTTGAGAAGGAGTTGGGTGTGGACAAATTACAGCTCTCTAAGAGATCTGTAGAGCCTGGTCCAGAAGGGAACAAGAGGAAGGTTTTGGAGAGGCTTAATTCTGATGTTCAAAAGTTGACAAACCTTCAAATTACTGTGCAAGACTTGAAGAGAAAACTCGAGATTACTGAAAAGAGCAAAAGAGGCAAAGCTATTGATGAGTGTGAGACTTTGAAGGGGCAGCTGGAAGAAGCTGAGGAGACTGTTCTGAAGTTGTTTGATCTCAATGGCAAATTGATGAAGAATATTGAAGATGGTTCTTTCTCCTCTCATAAGGAGTCTACTCTGGAGTCAGAAGATCGAGGAAGTGTCCGAAGAAGGAGAATTTCAGAGCAGGCACGAAGAATGTCTGAAAAAATCGGTCGGTTGCAGTTGGAGGTACAAAAGGTACAGTTTGTTTTGTTGAGACTTGATGATGAAAAGGAAAGCAAAGGAAGGACAACAATCTCAGAGTCATCAAGAAGAGTTCTCCTCAAAGACTATCTCTATGGTGGGGTAAGAATAAGCCACAGACGAAAGAAAGCACCCTTTTGTGCCTGTGTCCAGCCTCCAACAAAAGGAGATTGAAGTATTTTCATCTGCAAATCAGTAGAGTTTTTTTTTTTCTATAATCTAGAGATTTTCTTTCCTAGAGATCCCTTATGTCTACAGAACCTTGTCTTCCTCGGAGAAACTGCTGTACATGGCGGGTCCTTTTATAACCAAGAGGAACTGTCTGGGAAAGCCTGTTTCATCTTAGTGTAAGAAAAGTAAAGAAACTTCCGGTATGTACCAAAATTTACAATTAAATAAAGGGTTAGTTGCAATTCCAGTCAAAGTTACGACATAGAAAGATCAATGTCTAATCGCTTGGATTAAGTTACTATTTAAAGAAAAGTGGATATTGGTAGATCGACCCAAAACAATCCTATTTATCGGATAAAGTGGTAATCCCAAGCTTATTTCGTAACAACCTTTGGTACAATTAGGAAAATTAATTTCATAGTCTTACCCCTATGGGATTGAAACATTTTTTTCCTCAGCAAATCATTTTTTCCCACAATTTAATTAGTTTTGTGTGGTAAATGAAGGTTGTCCACTGCATCTAGTTGTACGATTTACAAAACTGCTGGTAAGTGCTAATGAATATATGAAGAGGAAGCTAGTAGTTGAAGCCATCTACTGTGGGTGACATGAAACTCCACTGCAGGAAGGGAAGACCTTTCCTGCAACTACGATAAAGCTGTCGACTGCGTAGAGTAGTCCAAAACCCAAAACTATAAAGGGATTATGTGGTTATTTTTGAGTGACCAGGGGGTGTCTAGTGTAACATGCTCAAGCCATGGGGGAGTAAAATGGATTTTACCCATAACGAATTGCAAAATACTAAATCTAAGCTTATCGTATTTTCAAGCGGTGAAAAATTATTACATGAAACAAAATTTATAAATTTGTTATGGATATAGTGGAAATTTAAAATATAAACCTATTTAAAATTTTATTTTTGATGATACCCCAGACAAGATTTAAGAGCGAGCTCAGGAAACGAGGTTAAGTGAGGAGGTCAAGTAGGATACGACGAGCTCAGAAGTCCAGAGCTAAAGCTCCCCCAAGGAAGACGGTAGCGGAACTGACCAGGAAACAACTAAATGACTGCGAAAATTGAGTTCAAAGCATGAAACTCTCAACCAACCGAGATTCTCTCCTAAAATCAAGGAGATTCCCACTAATGACAGGCGAAGATCTCGGCTGAGATCCTACAGAACAGGGAATAGTCTTATAAATACTATGTAATGCCTCTATAAAGAAAAAAAAAAGAGAAAAAAGAGAAAAACTCTAATTTCGAGAGAAACGATATTGTAATATACTTGAGTAGTGAATAGAGGAAAGGGATCAAGAGGCTCCATTAAAGAGTGGACTAGTCGAGTTCCAAAACCAGTAAACCACTATATTTTTACTGTGTGCACCCCCTTTAATCCCCTCAGTATTTCGCAGCAGCATCACACACGAGTCTTGTAGCTCTGATCCAGGCTCATCACACGTCACCTGAAGTTTTTGCTCATTTACGTGGTCATACGCCATCAGTTTTGCATCGTCTGTGGGAACGACTGTTCCTATTACAAGTATACTGATCTTTCAGTAATTGATGATTTCTACGCGTAATATGAGCAGAAGCCAGACGAATCCCCCAAGGATGCAGAATCAACAAGAAAATCTTCATGACTTCGTGCCCACGGCTGAGGATAATCCCCCTGTAGCAGATCCTCCAACAAACAATGAACTGGATGCCCTCCGTCAGGTCAACCATCGCTTACTCCGGCAGAATGAAGACCTCCTGAAGCTTTTACAAGGTCCTTAGCAAGCACAACTGACCCAGCAAGGCCAGAACGATCCCCCCCGCAGGGAGCAGCAACACCTCAACCCTCGGGGGCAGCAACACCTCAACTCTCTCAGAGAAACAGAAGAAGGAGGGAAAAATAGTCAGGCTCCTCATCCACCCCCTAGGGTTGGTGACAATGAAGAGGCGCAAAGTCAGGACAATGGGATCGAGAAAAATAATTTTCTCCCTTTCCAATAGGAAAGGATGAAACAATATTAGGAGCAACGCTTTAAGTACATTCAGCAAGAGCTCAGCCTCATTAAGGAAGCAGTAAGGGGTAAGACTCCAGTAACAATGGATGCATTGGTGCAACAAATCGAATCCACATTCACTGCTAGGGTGTTGTACTTTCCCCTCCCTCCTAAATTCAGAATGCCTCAGATAAAAGCTTTTGATAGGACAAAAGATCCAGTAGACCACCTTAACACCTATAAAAATCAGATGGAGTTGCATGGATACCAAGATCCAGTGTGATGTAGGGTCTTTGCCATCACTTTGAAGGGCTCAGCTTTAGCGTGGTTCAACAGGCTCCCCCCAGCCTCGATTTCCTCCTTTAAAGAACTCTCTATCTCCTTCGTATCCTATTTCATTGGAGCTCGGATCTATAGGAAGCTAAACTACCATTTGTTGAATGTGAAGCAAGGACCTGACGAGAACCTTCTATCCTATGTCCAGAAGTTAAACTCAGAGTCTCTGAAGGTAGACGTCCCAAACGAGAAGTTGTCATCACTGCTTTCATTGTAGGACTTGGAGTGCAATCAAAGGACTTGATGTTCTTTATCTCGAAGAATCCCCAGGCAAATATGGTAGAGGTGTTGGCCAAAGTAGAAAAGTATATAAACGGTGAGGAAACGCTCCTCTCTAAGGTGGGGGGCTCTTTATTATGAAAGGAGAAAGGAAAGGAAGAAAAAACGAAGGATCAAAGTCTTAGAAAAGAAAGAGAACAAGACAGGTCTCCAAGAAGAGACAAAGACCGTTCCCCGAAGAGAAGAGGAAACGTTAGGGATCGCTTAGGCCCTCCACAGCCAGAACTACAACTGAGGTATGCACCTCGGCAGTTCACCCCTCTAACTGTCACGGTGTCTCAAATCCTGTGTGAGATACAGAATGAGAAGTTCTTAAGATGGCCGCCCCGGATGAAGGCAAATCCAGCAAAGAGAGACCCCACAAAGTATTGTGACTACCACAGAGACCATGACCATCACACCGACAATTGCATACAATTAAAGAAGAAAATATAGTTCCTAATCCAGCGAGGGCAGTTGCGTTGCTTTGTAGCCAATGATAATCAAACCAAGCTCTCCCACCTCCTCCACCTCAGCAGCAAGCACTGGAACCACATCAGCAACCTATGGGGGAGATTAGAGTGATAGCTGAAGGAGGAGAATCTAGCTCAGCCAGAAAGGCTCACCTGCGAAGAATCAAAGCCGGAGAAGCTCCTGAAGTGTGTGCTGTGTCTAAGGCTCCACGTCTAGACATAACTATCACTTTCTCAGACTAAGACCTGGAGGGTTGTCAACACTCCCATGATGATCCCTTGGTGGTAAGGGTTGTGGTACCCAACAGGACTGTTCATCAGGTTTTGATTGACAATAGTAGCTCGGCAGACATCATTTTGGCTTCCGCTTTCGACAAGATGGATATAGAAAGGGAGAAACTTGAGCTAGTAAGTGCTCACTTATTGGGATTTTCAAGAGAAGGGGTGCTGCCCCTGGGATCAATCCAGCTCGTCCTAACCTTAGGCGATCCCCCTTGCTAGACCACAACAACCGTAAGGTTCCTGGTGGTCGATGCACCTTCTGGGTACAACATGCTCCTTGGGAGGCCTTCGCCCAACTCTATGAGGGCTATCCCTTCTGCTTATCACCTCGTGGTGAAGTTCCCAACAGAAAATGGAGTTGGAGTGGTCTGAGGAGACCAGCGTGTGGCATGAGAGTGCTACATGGCATCTGTGAAGAAGATGGAGGTTAAGAATATCCAGCTGGATGAACTTGACATGAGAGATGAACTAGAAACTATACCAACACCATCAGAAGAGCTGGAACCAGTTCAATTAGACAAGGAGCCAGAGCACCTCGTCTACATAGGATCTAAGCTAAGTAGAGAGATTAAAGACCTCCTTATCCAGTTCCTGAAAAGGAACATGAAAATTTTTGCCTGCAAGCAAGAAAACATGTGACTTGATCCGAAATGTGTGCACCCAAGTGCAAGCGGTCAAGCTGTAGTAATAATTCGATGAAGTCCGAAGTCGAATCCACAGGGAACTATGGTTGATGTTTTGAAGTAAGCAGTAACAGAGACCAAGTGACTTTGGAAATTTTGAGTATGTGGAGTGGTGGGGTTTTCTTGATTAGAATAGAAGATTCTTTTCAAGAGTTTTCTAGATAAAATATAAGATTCTCAAAATGTAACAACCATTCTTTAGCTCGAGGATCAGGACATGTAATAGAATATCCGTTTTATTATATTTGTGTTTTATAACTCAATTAACTCCCGTGTCAACAATAAGTTAATCGGAGATAAAGATGGATTATGAGAATTAAACACATGGTTCTGATGCCTTTCTAGAAGTTTACAAGAATTGTTTGTGCCAAGACATAACCCATCTACAAACAAGCAAGTGTTTCTACAAGGCATCTAACCATGGCATTAATAATCCATTCTTTGAATAAAGCGCAATAATAGTGTAGATTGAAAGGTTGTCATTAAGAGTTAGCCGGGGTACTTGCATTGAACCATCAGATCTTTCTATGCAGGAGTCATTCGTATCATAGATGAAGCCCTGGTTATACAAAGGACCTCAATCTTTGCTAGGTACATTCAATCACCCAATGAACAGGTGGAGTATAAACCATTAAAGCATGAAGAAGTTGCACAAACATAATTGTTGGATACTCTTTACATATTCATCACCTCTTACTAAAGATTGAATGAGGAACTACTCACTTTTCATGGCCTTGGCAAAGCTAGAAAAGTGAGTGCTACTCATCCCTCTAAGTAGAGACGCTACTAAGTAAAGAAAACTAAACAAAGAGCTTTTTTTCAATGAAAAATAAGTGAATCACTTTCCACCCTTCACGACTTTGGTGAAACTCTAGAAAAGTGGAAGAGTTTCATTCTTCTACGAAAGAAGGATGTTCAAGCAATGAAAATGACATACATGAATAATAAAAGTAGAAGAAAGCTAGTTGCTTTTGGTGGGTTTCCACCACAACCAAAAGATGAACTACCTCTCTTGATACTCTATAAATAAAAGTAAGTACAACTACAAGGGGAGTCTAACCCTCCATCATGGTTGATATAAATGAAAAATGACAACATAAACATAAAATGTTCAAGAACTAGATTACTAAAACACTCTTACTTTACAAGAATAAAGA